CCCCCTCTCATGTGCTCGCTCTCTCTAGCTCATTCTCTCTCTCAAATAAATAAAATCTTTAAAAAAAAATTCTACATTAGACTATGATATTAATAACAGACAAAAGAGAAGGAAAGGAGAGCAGTTATATATGCCTAAATAAGCTTATTATTTTAGGGAGGTAAAAGATTATGCTTTTCTTAACTAAGAATCATTGTCTAAATTACAGATATTTTTCATTACACTTTGTCGTCAATGTCCAAACTTAGCTCAGAAGTTAGCTCAAAAGCACTTAGCATTGCCAGATAGCAGTTAAATCTAAAAAACTGTGGTTAGCTTATAAGCTAAATATATCTGAATATAAAACCTTAACTGATTTTTGTACTTTATTAGACTTTGTAAAAAAAAAAGTCCAAAATGTCACATTAAAAAGTTTTACTTATGAATGCAAATTAAGACATGTAATACAAAGTAATTTCAAGTATATTCTCTGTAAAATATTCACCTAAAAAGATGTATCATATGCACACACATACTAACACACACATACACAAAAACATACATGTAGATCTCAGGTTGTAAATTAGAAGTAAAAAGTGTGAAACTGAATGTTGTGGTATTCTGAAGTGCTTATCTATCATCACTCTGTTAGTCGTAAAGAGATCAGTTGCTTAGAACCATGTGTCTAGTCTCGATACAGGACTATTGATAAAACATTTGAAAAATAGTCCTTATACAGTATTATTTAATTTTTTACAAGTGGAAATAATAAACTAAAAAATATGCTACCCAAATAGACCAATATGTAAAAAAAAAAAAAATGATTTGCTTAAAAGTTAATCCCTAATTTTAATTGTTTATAAAATTAGTTTTCTAATATATGTCCATATCCTACAACTGGGACATACATCGCTTCATCTTTGAACACAGTTTGCTTTGAAAGAGTTCAGGATAATTGATTCAATAGGAACATCAGCTATGGCTTGTGGATGATAATGAATGCCTAGGAATATTGCTACATAATAATGGCCTTGAATAATCAGGTGAAACTTTTTTAAATTAGTAAAATGTCGAGTTGTTCTGATCCTGTTTCACTTCCACTGCTATGGCTCAGTATATATACAAAACTGGTCTTCATTTGCTGTGAATCAAAAGCATCATAATATAGAAACATGAGTTGTGAATAAAGCACATTGTTATAAACTGCAGGAAAGAAGAGCAATGAGCTTTTACCGCACAGGGCTGTTGGAAGAATCTGGGTCATGAGCTGCTACAGTGCCAATGATATTCCCAACTTGGGTAGCTTCCGACACCTCCATGGGGTACAAAGGTGAGGAAAACACGGGGGGCTCGTCCACATCTTCCACAATTATCTTCACTGTTGTCGTGTCACTGAATGGCCCCAAGCTTAGAAAGCGAGGGTCGGCATCTTTGTTTGCAGCTTCTATCCGGAGTGTGTAACTTGTTTTGGCTTCAAAATCCAGGTCCTGTAAAGTTATTAGGGAAATTAAATTACCAATTAAATAGTCAGCTAAGCAGAGCCTTTTCATTTATGAATGTTAATAAGCATAGAAAGGACTCAGCCACGAAAATGCACCATCAGCATTCACAAATAATAAATAATAATGCCCATCAGAATCCTTGCTGCTTTTCTGGGTCATAGACAATGGTAAGTGCTTTGGAGCTAACTTAATCCACTCTGCTGCCGTGCATTGCATGGGCAAAAGCAAGTCTTTAGAATATTATTTGAAAGACAACCGATAAGGCTGAAAACTCTTTCCAACAGGGACATCAATATAATATCCTTCAACCATGTAATTTAACTGCACTATCCAGGGGTGCACATTAACAAGAAAGAAAAATATAACTTTCCACTGGATTTCTCATTTAAAAGGTCATCTTTATTGATTTCAGGGACTCCATTACAATCCTGAGCTTTTAGGTGCTCCAAAGGCAGCCACACTGCATAGGTGGGATGTTGAGTTTGTGCTGTCTGAAAACACAGCCAATTCTCGATGAAGCACAATTTCTTTCTCCACAATTCCTCAACCAGTATACACTGTGTCTCTGTTTGTATCTGATGGTTGAGAGTTATATTCTAAAATCTCAGTTCTGCAACTTTCCAAGAGGATTAACATGTCAACACTTTACTCAAAAATAGTGACCCAAGTTAAACCATTTGGTAGTTTTAAAAAGTTGTAAGGGCAATTAAATGTTGTCCTAGGAAAGCACCATCTGTGAAAAAAAAAATTATATATACAATATGCTGAAGTTGTTTGTGACAATAAAATGCTTCTCTTTTTCAAGGAGAGAGAAGAGAAAGAGAAATGTTTTCTCTATTTTCAAATACAGAGTCACAGATTTTTATGACTTTTTTTTTTAAAGATTTTTATTTATTTATTTGTCAGAGAGAGACACAGCAAGAGAGGGAACACAAGCAGGGGGAGAGGGAGAAGCAGGCTTCCCATGGAGCAGAGAGCCTGATGCGGGGCTCGATCCCAGAACCCTGGAACCACGACCTGAGCCGAAGGCAGATGCTTAACGACTGAGCCACCCAGGCACCCCAGATTTTTATGACTTTTGATCTCAATCTCAGCACTGAAAAACTGTCCCAAAATATTCCTTACATTCAAGGAGATAAAACAAAAATAATTTTTTAAAAAGTAAAGAAATGGACCGAAATGCTACCAAATATAAAGCATGGTTTACTTAATTGTAATTTTTACCTAACGGTTATGTAACAGAAAAAGTATTAGGGAAAAGGGGACTAAAATAAACAAAACAATGTAGTCGTGTAAATAGAAAATAGGATATATATAGAGAGACCCACTGTATGTATGTATGTCTATATGACAAACAGTATATATATGTACTGTTTATATAAAACATAACATGTGCACACAGAAATCCATGTACATACAAAATATACAAATATAGATGTGTGTGTATTTGCAGATATATGTTACATAAAAGTCTCCATGGCTCATCTCCGATTAATACTGAGGGAAAAATATATAAATCAATACTCAAAAATAGATTTATAGTATCTAGATCAGGGAGCACTTACTAAATGTTTACTAGCTTCACATCTGTCTCATCCAATAGATTGTAAGCTCCAGACTGTCTTGTTAATTACTAGCATTCCCAGGGCCTATTATGAATTCAGCACATAGAAGGGGCTCAATAAATTCTTGTTGAATTAGAAAAAACTAGACCACAGATATCCAGGACACAGAGCCTTAAAATTGAACTATACTTTTGCCCCAGGGAATCCTGATAGCCAAAAGGAGGGGTGGGAGAAGGAATAGTCAGGTATATTGGTTTTCTTTACCACAAAACACTTCTTAGAATTGCTACAGGAAAATGCAGTTTTAATTTTCTGAGCTTTCATATGAAAATGCAGGGGCATGTGGTACACAGTGCCCTAAACACCACCTTATTAACAAATTCAGTGATATTCTGATGATGCTATTACCTAAAAATATTTCCAGTGCAATGGTTCTCAACCAAATGTGAGGATCAGAACTACCCAGGGGAGTTTTCTGACACATATGTGGCCCCTTCAAAGAAGATTTTGATTCAGCAGATCCAGGAAGAAGCCCAACCATATGCATTTTTAAAAGGGGGGTCCCTGGGGGGCTCAGTCAGTTAAGCATCTGCCTTCAGCTCAGGTCATGATCTCAGGGTCCTGGAATCGAGTCCTGCGTTGGGCTCCCCACTCCCCGCTCCACGGGAAGCATGTTTCTCCCTCTCTCTCTCTCCCCTGCTCATGCTCTCTCTCTCTCTTATTCTCTCTCTCTCAAATAAATAAATAAAGTCTTTAAAAAAAGAAGGCTCATTGGGTAATTGTGATGCAAAGCCTCTTGTAAGAAGGCTGACCTCTGCATTAACACTGTGTTGTACCCATACATGTAATCTAGTATTTAATTTGGGTATTGCTAAGGATAAAAAAAAATTCCTTACCTAAATGCATTTACTTATTCCAAACATACTCACAAATAGCTTGGATATTAACCTGTGTACTTTGTTCTTATATTACTTATAAAACTGACAAATAATGAGAGAAATCTTATTTTTATATCGTATGTGTCTCTGTATGACAGAAGGTGTCTTAAAAATCCTATTTACCATCTCCTTTTAAATCAATTCAAAACCACAACCACTTTTAAGATATTCATTCAGCTCTATCAAAAGGGATAACAAGTATTTCTGTATTCAAGTAAAAGTTTGGCATATGAAAGAAAAATGTAAAATTTACTGCACAAATGAATGCGATTATTTTATAGCAACTTTTTTTTAATGTGTCTAAAAGGCAACAACATGAGGTATAGACATCTGGATGCCACTGAGTCATAATGAAACACAGTATCATGCATGATGATTGGTTGCCTAAGAGCTATTATGACAATAGAGCAATAAAAGAATTTGTATGAAAGGCTATGAATCAAGATTACAGACAAAAGAAATTGCTACACAAAATGATTTCCAGAGCAAATCAGAATCAACCAGACATCTACTTTTCAAAGAGGGGTGTGGTGTGATAGATAGGGTTGTTAAACACATTGAAGAGAAAGCTTTTGCAATAAAATTTTAATTCCTATTTCTCTTTCTTACTGACTTCTATCTAAGCAATACGTTCCATAACCATTAGATTTAATGAACAGGGTTTTACTTGGGGAAAAAAAAAGAAAAAGTTTAACAACTGAGAAAACACAGAGTAAAAGGAAGAAGATAAAGGTAATGTCTAAATAGATTCTATCCAATATTGGAACTACATATCACTGGGGACTATATATAAGTGGAAATTAAACCAAAACATTCTTCACACTGTGGCCCACGATAGCAAGCAATAAAGGGTGAATAAGAACCCGGATTCAAATGGGAGTCACGCAGACCCAAGCCAGTGACCCCACAGAGCCTTTCTGGGACCTGTAGAAGCTGTGCTTTCATCTGTCAAGTGACATGTATATCAGAGACACTGAGAGAAGAAGCTTGTTTGGTATATTATTTCCTAGACTATAAAATAGATCTGTTTACATTTTTGCCATCAGAGATGATGAACTGCAGGATTAAAAAAAAAAACAAAAACTACAGAGAACACACTGATGGTTAGCAGAAGGGAGGTGGGTGGGGATGGGTGAAATAGGTGAAGGGGATGAGCCCTGAGTAATGCACAGAATTGTTGAATCACTCTACTGTGCACCTGAAACTAATATAACACTATGTAAACTATACTGGAATTAGAATAACACAATTAAAAAAATAAGCAGTATATCTAAGGCAGGGGTGAACAACCTTTTCCTGTAAGGAAATAATACTAAATAATTAGGCTTTGCAGGTTGTACATTCTCTGCCACCTATAAATGAATTAGTGTGGCCATGTGCCAATAATGCTTCCTTTACAGACAATGAAACATAAATTCTATAGAACTTTCACATATCACACATTCGTCTTCCTTCCATTTTTCTCAATCATTTAAAAACATAAAACCATCCGTAGTCCTTGAGCTGTACAAAAACAGGCAGTTATTTGTCAACACCGATCTAAGGAGCCCAAGATAATAAGCTTCTTTTTCCAGACTAGATGCTCACCCTTCTTCCTCCCATCCCTTTTACCACAATTGAAATGAACTATTCACTCTAAGCAGCACACTTTGTGTCTTCCAGTTCATATCACCTGCTGGTCCTCCTTTCACATAATTTTGTCTTCCATTTGTCTTATTGAAATCTCATGGAGACCCACTATCACCTTCTTTATTAACATTCCCATAATCCCCTTACCTAATGAATAGTAAAACTTCTTTATATGGAAAGCTAACCATAAACAGGAAGTTTTATACACATCTTTAACGTGCATTTAAAAAAGATGCAGGGCTGGTATTATTAATCGATGTGAAATCCAAACAGCAGAGAGTTCCAGTGAAAGTCCAAAGTTACATGTGTAGAGGGGAAAGACACACTATGTGAAGTTAAGGCCATGTCCACCCACCACCCATTTCCTTCCTGCTATAGAAAGCAGGCTCCAAGAGTAACTAGGGTTTCTTATTATATGGCATTATCACATTTAGGCACCTGCCCACCTGACCAACCTTATAGGTTTGCTGTAGAGTGTTCCTAAATTTAAAACACTTAGAACATCAACTGACACTGAGTAACTGCTGTATAAATATTCACTTTGTTACTATTATATTATTCTTAGTGCCATTACTTCCTGCTAGATTATAAGCAAATCAAATGAAAGTTAAAATCATGTCTTCCTCCTCTATGTTTCGCCTGTGACACTTAGGCCTACGTCTTCAGTAAAGTCAGTTTATAATATGATGGCTTGAATTAAAAAAAGCAAAAAACAAAACAAAACAAAACAAAACCCATCATTAATAGTGGGGTCTGAATAGTTCCCCTGCCATTTTTAGCCTTTTGAAAAGTAAAACCTAAGTTAAAACATAATCTTGAGTCCATTTAATAAAACCACTGCACTGCATTTTTC